TAAATGCTCTTTTCTAGCTATTTTTGAAATATGTAATGAATTATTGTTAGCTGTAGTCACCCCAGGTTTTGAGATGTGTGCTAGAGAAAGGTGATATTGCCACGAAGGTGCTATTACAGGTGGTATGGTGAGGAGGGCTCAGAAAGGAAAGAGGGGAGTTGCATAGAAAGTCTCAATATTTCCAGAGAATACCTAGTAATCATGAACAGATCGTTGGTAGATATGTGGATGGTAAAGGCCATTGTGATGAGATCTTAGATGGAAATGAGGAACATGTTATTGAACAATAGAGAACAATTAATCCTTGTTATAAAGTGGCAAAAAACTTGGTTGAATTGATTTCATGTGCTGGTGTTTTGTGGGAGGTAGAAGCTGTGAGGAATGAAATTGGATATTTAGCGGTAGGAATTTTTAAGTGAAGTGTTGAAAGTACAGCTTGGCTCCTCTGCACTGCTTATGTTAAAATGCAAGAAGAGAGGAATAACTTAAATATGGAATTAGTAATAAAAAGGAAGGAAAACATAAAGATTTGGAAAATTATTAGCCTATCCATATTGCAAAAAATGAGAACCCTAAGGCCAACTTACTGTTTGATAAAGAGATTACTATAGATTAGACATCTCAACAGAAGCCAGGAGTTATTCTCTAGGAGAATGGGAGAATGACCCCCAAAGAAAACTCAGAGATCATCAAATCTTCTCCCATGGAATGCCCAGAGTGCAAGGACCCAGGGTGAAGAATGGTTTCAAAGGAAGGGCTGTCTGTGCCTGTAGGTCCTTGGCACATGCTACCTGGCACTGTCTTACACCACAGGCTCCACTGTCCACACCCTTGGTATTATGCTCTTTGGCAACCCCAGGTGCAGTTCCAGCAGGCCCCGATGTGGCATGGGCCATGGTGCCTGTCTCTCTGGAGGACACAGGCAGCAACCTTCAGTGGCATCCATATAGCTCTTGTGTATAGAGTGCACATGCCTGGGGGCATGGCTACCTCCACCTATGCTTTAAAGAATGGTGCTGCCCAGAGCTGTGGGCTTGTGACCCCTGCTTGGCAAAACTGCAGGGCTGGGGTCCAGGCAAAACTGCGGGGCTAGGGTCCAGGCAGAGTGACAATTTGGGGCCATTTTGCTGACCTATGGGGGGTGACAATTGTCACCTCAGTGGGCCTGGAGGGCACAGCATCAGGCCAAAGAGGATTATTTTTAAGCCCTAAGATCTTACGAAGTTTGCTTTGTAGCTTGGACTTACTTGGGACCTGTTACCCTTCTTTCTTTCCTATTTTTCTCTCTTAGAATGAAAATGTCTATCCTATACCTGTCCTACCATTGTATTTGGAAGCATATAATTTGTTTGGTTTTTCACAGAGTCACAGATGGAGAGAGATTTGCCTGAAGGTGAATTGTAAACTTGAGTCGTACCCTTATCTGATTTAAATGATATTTAGATGAGACTTTGGAGTTTAGACTTTACTGTTGATGTTGGAATAAGTTAAGACTTTTGGGGTTACAGGGATGTAATGAATGTATTTTGCATAAGAGGACATGAATTTTGAGGGCCTTGGAACAGGGTATAGGATATAGGCTGAGTATTGGTAGTATTGGCCCCACAAATTCATATGTTGAAATCTTAACCCCAATGTGGTGATATTAGGAGGTGTGGGGCCTTTGGTAGGTGATTAGGTTATTAGAGTAGAGCCCTAATGAATGAGATTAGTGCATTTATAAAAGAGACTCTGGAAAGATACCTCACTCTTCTGCTATGTGAAGGCATAGCTAGAAGACAGTTGATTATGATCCAGAAGGTGGGCCCTCAACATGGAATCTACTGGCACCTTGGTCTTGGACTTCCTAGCCTCCAGAATTGTGAGAAATGAATCTCTGTTGTTGATAAGCTATCTAGTCTTTGGTATTCTATTATAGCAGCTGGAATGGACTAAAACATACCACCGCTGCCCATATCAACAACAACTAGTAGTAACAATAGTATAAACAGTAATAGTTACCATTTATTTAGTGCTTACTACGTGGTAGGCATTGTGGAATCCATTTCACATACATCGTCTTACTTTGCCCTCCTGAGATGACAGATTAAGCAACTCGCCCAAGGTCTATAAGTGGCAGAGCCAGGATTCAGCATGTAACTCAAGTCTGTGTGTCTCCAAAGCCATGATCTTACCCACCACAGTGTGCTTTCTTCCTCTAAAATTTCTTAAATATCTAATTATAAACCATTCATAATACTTCCTTTGACAAATATTAAAGGCTCCTGACCATGAATTTTATGGGTTTTTTTTCTTTGATGGTACTACAAAGACATTTCAAGTTGGAGATGGTAATATTAGATGTGTTCCGAAAGGAAATGTTTATCATGTGTATCATCAGTTCTTAGTTGTGAGTGGAAAAACTTAAAACTACATTAAGGAAATGAATTGATTGTCTCATGTTACAGAAAAATCTAGGAGGGGTTTAGCCTCAGGCAAGGCTGTATCCAGGTGACTTAGTCATGACATTTCTTGCTTTATCATTTCATATTTTGGTTCTGCTTTTCTTACGTCCCCTGCCTTACACAGCAGGTTCTATCCCTGCTGTAGACAATATTCCTCCAAGAGTTCTGGATTTTCTGAGTCCATATGGTTGATGATTCTGGAAGAAGAGAAATGTCTTTCCTGATAATCTGGCAGTAATCCTAGGGGGAACATCGTCTGACTTGACGTGGGGTGCATGCCCATCCCTGAGCCAGTCAGTGTGTCCAGAGAGGATGAAGCATTCTGATTGGTGCAGCCTATGCATTATGACTACACCTGTAACTCAAGAGGCCAGAGGGAGTCTAGGTGAGCCTTGACCAAACCCCATGAGCTAAGCAAGAATACAATAACAGGGGAGAAGTGATTCTCCAAATACAAGGATAATGTACATAAATATCAGAGGCCTACTACAAAATCTCTGACTTTGTCATTGTTTTAACAAATGGTGTCTTTTGTGTAGTGTATTGAAAAGAGCAGAGGGCTGTTGTAAAGGGCATCTTGACTCCTGTACCTTTTTGGCCTCTGACTAGCTATGGAGCCTCAGACAAATCATTTGTCCTCTTTGGTGTTAGTTCCTTCATGTGTAAAAATGAGAAGTAGAATGATCTGCTCTTTTTATAGCAGGAAAGATTGCCTTATATGCAACACAAATTCTGATGAGATCATGGTGGGATCACACATGATGATCTGCTCTTTTTGAACCTCTCCAACTCTGGCATTCTAAGTACTAGTGAGCATTATCACTAGTACTTTATCACTATATTATCTGTATTATCACTAGTATTATTATTACTAGTATTATCTGTAATATCACTAGTACATTATCACTATATAAGAAATTTGGGAATTTCTTATATAGAATAACCCTTTTGACCTCTTGTTACCATAATCACGTTGACCCATTTTTTCTGGGTTGGATGAGAGAGTTTGGATCCTATTATCCTTTAAGCAACAAAAGTCAGTGGCTGGTTTTTAATATAGATTGATGATTTCATGCTTTCTTTAAAAAGCCTAGTTAGTATCTACAGCAAACTAATGCCTTCTCCTCAATTCTGACATCTGTTAATATAAAGCATACCATTGAAGACTTTCAGCTTACCATGGTGATCTGGTCTATCAAAATGGTGCAAGAGGTGTGTTCTTAGTTTTCTGTACATTAATAATAACTTTTGTGTGCAGTTATGTGAACTCCACAGAGACAGCATTCATGTTTAGCTTGTTTAATGTTGAAACCCCTAGGGCCTAGCTCAGTTCTAGATATAAAGTAGATGCTTAGAAAATATGGACTGAAAGATTAAACAAAATGGAAAAAAAAGGCTATATAATTTCTTAAAGCTTACATGTCATAGAGCCTTCTGAAGTATAAGTGTCTCTAACCAAAACAAATATTTTAGATGAAAGTAAAACAAATAGTAAATGACTGCAATGGGATTGAACCTAGTAAATCCAATATACAATTTGAGAATTCTTTGTAGCTACATCATGTTGCTTCTCAAGGGACTTCAAACATCAAAGTCCACTTCCATCTGGCTCTCATAATTGATGGTTTCCTTTCTAATGCCCCTAATTCTGCTATTGAGAACAAATGGAAAATTACCACATCTTTATACCTTATTTCTATCTTGTTTTAGGGTGTTTTTTTTTTATATTGAGTAACTTTTTTGACCTCTTGCTACCATAATCATGTTGACCCATTTTTTCTGGGCTGGAAGAGAGTTTGGATCCTATTATACTTTAAGTAAACATAAGATTTTTTCTTTAGGTGCAGGATGCACTAAAATAGCATGGCTAGGTTACTGCTTAAAAATACGGCTTTCTCCATATCAATATCTTAATCAAGAACAAAGTCTTCAATTTGTATTTTTAGATCCTTCAGTTTTGGTCTCAATTTACCTATCACATTTTATTTTCCAGTACTGTAAGAGCCAGTGGTCCAGGTGAGCCAGTCATTTTAGCTATCATCTGTTATGTTTACTGTTCATCTGTACCATACTCATAAAATCTCCTTGCTTTGACTCTGTCCCCCAAGCCAAGGCTTTTCCATTATCAAGAGGTTTGATTAAAATCCATATTATCCATGGATATTTCTCAAATTGTAACCTAGATAAATTTCCTTTATTTAAGCTTTTATATGATGCATATGGATTGAAACCAGCACTTCCAAGTTACTCTGAAGAACACAAGTTTGGACAAAAGGGTTCAAGGGTAAGAGTGGTCTGGGAAATTTTAGTATCCATGGAAAATAGTTTGGGAAATTGCCCTATGAGTTTCTTGTGGGCACAGAGTAAGTGTAATAAGTGTTTATGCCCTTAGTGCTAATATAGTGCTTGACACATAGTAGACATTCAACAAATGTAGAATAAATTAATGACTGCTGAAAAATTTGGCCTTTTATTATGTGCTAGATTGTATTACTTTTCAGTTTGATATTTAAAATTTTATTTCACCAGGGGAGGTGGAAATATTCTTCTGAACAGTACTCATATCTTGTGTGGCATTTGTATTTTTTCATCACATTTAGTGTAGGACTTGTCATCTGGATGCTAATGAATGAGAAACTTGCTGTGTTGTTGTAATTTGATCACTGGAACCACTATGTGTGTAGGCATCGTGTCATCAATGTTAGTTTGACAGTTGGAATATGGCATAACATTTTGATTACTATTCCATCTTCCAGGATTCACTCTGAAGCAGCTATTCAAATACTGCATTTAGCTAAATATGTGGTGGTTCTTTCTTTGACTTATTGGAATGAGTGTGTTCATTCTATTTCTTCTCTTTCCAAGCATGGGTATCTGTGATGAATGTAAGAAAAATTGTGCATTAATAGGCCACTCAGCTTAACTTTGTATAAACCACTGGATGTCTTTATTTCCCCAAAAACATTCTATGGGAAGGATTTATAAGTCAGAAGTTAAAGTGTCTGAGGCAGAAACTCAATAATTTGAAACAATACCCAGGCATTTGATCAATTACTTGCAGATATGCTGATGGTGCTAGGAATTCTTGGCAGAGAGATTTCTCTAACATTACCTTACAACTACTGTCGTTCCTTAAGATGATACCCTTTTGAACTGGAAGCAGATAGTTTTCTACAAGAATTCCTACACTGAAAGCCAGTTTTCTTAGAATCATTTTCCTCTGAATGTGGGCTATAGCTCCAGAATATTATGCTATATATTTTCGTTTGATTTTTCTAGTCCATGATTAGCTACTTGCTAGAATTGGTGTCAGTAAATCATTTGCAAGAAATTCTAGTTATTATCATCTAATATTATCTAGTAGTTATCTAACAATTCTCAAAACTAATAATTTTCAATAAATTCATAAAATTATTATAAATTTATATTATTACATGGTCTTAGGAGCCTCAGGAAGATGGGTATTTTTAAGTAAATCAGGTAAGTATTAATAACTGTGATTACCAAAGCACAGAGAACTTACAAGAAGAGGACAGGTTCCAGAAGATGGAAATGGTCTGTTTTCCAAGATTAACTGGACAAGTTCTCCAGCTCTTTCTACAAAATAGAAAATACAGGTGTTACTTCACATAATAGGCTGACCATCCTGTAATACTTGCCCTTTGTAGGCTTCTTGGGTACATATTTTCTTTTCTTCTGTATGGGAAAACTTCACAGCTTTTCCTTCAAGCATTTGGGAAATCCTTCAAGCAATTCTTACCAAAGAGCTCAGATGCAGAGATCTCAATTTTCATCACAAAGGACAATTAAAACTGGTGCACATACGCTTCACCCTGGCATGCATCAAAGACTCCTTTCTTCTGCAGTGGAATCTTTCCCAGTTAACATCCCTGGCACCTCCCCAAATTCCCCATTTTTACTTTTTAACTAAATGTTCAAGTTTTTGTCACATGTTAGTTATGACACAACATGTTAGCTGGTAGCTCTCTAAGACTTTAAGGTTGCACGTGTGTCTCAGAGCAAGGTTTATAGATGGTTGATGATACAATTTCTAAGAGCATGTTTATATTTTTGAAGATAAGTACCATTTCTTTTCATCTAGGAGTGTCAGCGGTTCCATTTCATTGTATCTATTTGAGGGATTTGACCCTTCACCACCACACAGAGACGTGTCTGAGGACAAGCAGTATAGTTTCTGTTTAACCTTGTGAGTCTCTTCCCTCTCCTCTGCAAACACACTCAGTGTTCTTGGCAAGCCTGCCTCACTGCAAAGAAAAGCATACCTGGAGGCAATAGACCGGCCTTACTGGCAGCTCTTGGCTTCTGATGACATAAAATTAGTAGAAGCAGAACCATGGACAGTAGCTATTGCCATAATGCAGTGATGGTTAATTTTGTGGGCCTGTTGAGTTTCTTGCAGAGGGTGAGCAGGCATGGAATGTCACATGTATAATTGCAAGCAGTCATATTACAGTTTATTTGTGTGTGTGTGTGTGTGTGTGTGTGCATGCACGCGCATGTACACTAGAGAGGGAGAGAAAGTGAGAAAGTGGGCTACCCTGTGTAAGACAGCTCCAGCTGAGTCCTTGTGTATCTGATGATGGTAGCAACATTTGAATAGAACATTATAATGTAAGTGAAAATACTTTTTAATTACAACATTTATTCCTAATACCAGCTTTGCATTCAGGATACTTCACTATAGTGCCCATACTACTTCATAGGATTTAAGAGGTCCTTCTTGTCTGCCCCTACTTACCTCATCAGAATTTCTTACTTACTAAGCTCCTCTTACTTGCTAACTTAAAAATGATTTCTTGACTTTCAGTCTTTGGATGTCCGTTCTTTCTGCCAAAACCTCTGTTTTGGCTAACTCCTTTCAAGGAGCCTGTCCTTGCCCCTACTAGATAATGAGTTCCTCTTATGAGTGTGTTCAGCAGCCTATAATACATCACTTAGTACCAAATGGCAGCTCCATCCTATATTGCAGTTGCCTGCTTATTTATCTTCCTTTCCATACTGAAGCTCCTTGAGGACAGGAATAATATTCATCTCTTTAGTTCAAGTGCCAGCACACACCTATCAAGCATAACCATTTATTGATTTGTTTTGGGTTACAGAGAGCAGCTATCATTACTACCATCTTACAGGTAAGTGAATGAAAGTTCAAAAAGGGTGGAAAGTCCAACCAATGGAGACATACCCAGAATGCAACTAACAGATCTAGACCATAAACAGCAACATTGGCAATACTACTACAACTACTAATGATGATAGTAGTGATAAATTTTATTTTTTAAGTACCATGAACCAGGTACCACACATATTAACTCATTAAATTCTCAGATCAACTCTTTAATATAGGTACTGTTACCTGTATTATCTTTGTTGTCAAGAAAGGATTTAAATCTCAGAGAGGTTCATTAACTTATCCAAAGTCACAGAGCTTGATGGAAGAGTCTCTAATTCTAGTACTTGTCCTCTGTCCACTCTCCTTGCTGTTTCTTAGTTACTTTGATTAAATGTTCAAGTTTTCTTCCAGTGTGTTATATCAAATAGCATCCACTTATTAAAATAATAATATACCCAATTAATTGGTGGTTTGCCTGCAAGTTGTTAAATACTGGTTTGATGAGATGCATTTCAATAAATTGATACATCAGGTCCAAATTAATCCTATCCCGACTATTATTGATGCTATACACTCTTGTTATATCCTTTCCCACCTTGTATTCTAGACTCCAAGCAACTTATCAACATTTAAATAATGTGGGCAAAGATGATAAGGACCCTAGAATGTATGGGTAAAAGTCTCAAATATTTGCTCCAGCCCTGAGGAATATGTAGGGATGTTTCTTCTTCATACCCCTTGATAGATATCACAGATGCAGAATGTTGATCTGGATGGTCTGGCAATTTAAGTACTTGGGGTGGGTTTATATTCTGTGGGTTTATATTCTGAGCTGTATATAGAATCAGTTATAATTGACAGGTACAACCCCTCCTTCCTCTGTCTTCCCCGGCCCTTGACACCCACCACTCACAGAACCCTGATGAAGCAGTGTCCTGATAAGTTGAGGATGTGTAGTTTCTTCCCTTGTCTCATCAGATTAGGAAGGAGGTCCTTAAAGATAGGGAGGACACATAATTTACCATTTTATCCAAAGCTGGAGGCATGCACTTCGGCTCAGTATATGTGTGTTAAATAAATGAGTGGTTTTGGCGGGACAAATCAACCTCAGAGTCCTTCTTTCTACAGCAGTTTTCCTTTCCACTTCAGTTATGTGGAATAGTATGTGTAGATATTCTTCCTCAAGGCTGCAAGAATCATACCTCTTTTAGATGGTGGCATCTCCTTTTATGGCATCTTCGATGGTGTTCCAAGACTATTGCATAACTACTGTGGAAATATCAATATCTCATTTCTAAATAATGGAGTGGCACTTCTTGAAGATGTCCCAACTGCCTTACAAAGTCATCATCAGATTGGCATGGCACCCTCTTATTGTTTATATTACTTGCTTTATGTACAAGCTCTATTTATTTTGAACATCTTTGGTGAGGTATAATTGACATGTATACTGCACATATTTAAAGTGTACAGTTTGATAAATTTTGACATACGTATAAACCCGTGAGTCAATGGGTTTATATATATGCAATCAAGATGGTGAACAAATGTGTCACTTCCCAAAGTTTCCTTGTTCTCCTTTGCAATCACTCCCTCTCAGCACTTCCTACTCCCTTCCCCATTCCTGGTTAACTACTGATGTGCTTCCTGTCACTATAAATTATTTTGCATTTTCTTGAGTTTTATATAAATGGAGTCTTTGTCTGGCTTCTATTACTCAGGGTAATTTATTTTGATATTCCTCTATACCATTGTGTGGATTAATAGCTAATTCACTTTTATTGCCAAGTAATATTTTATCGTATAGATATACTACAATTTGTTTTATTATTGATGGACTTTTGGTTTGTTTCTAGTTTTTGACTATTATGAATAAAGGGGCTGTGAAGATAGGAATATATGTTTCCATTTCTTTTGAGTAAATACCTAGGAATAGAACACCTAGATCATATTGTAGGTGTTATGGGTTGAACTGTATCCCTCCAAAATGATAAGTCAGAGTTCTAATCCCGTGTCCCTAAGCATGTGATCTATTTTGGAAACAGGGTCTTCATGATGGTCATCGAGTTAAAATGAGGTCATTAGTTTGGGTTCTAATCCAATATGACTGGTATCCTTATATAAAAAAAGAGGAATTTGGACACTGACATGCACACAAGAAAGACGGCATGTGAAGACAGAGGCAGAGATTGAGGTGTGATGCTCTGACAAATCAAAGAACGTCAAAGATTGCCAGCAAACCACTGAAAGCCAAAAAAGAGGCCTGGAACAGATCCTCCCCCACATGCCGTGGAAGGAACCAACCTGGGCTTCTATCCTCCAAAACTGTGAGCCAATAAATTTCTGGTGTTTAAGCCACCAAATTGTAGTACTTTATTTTAGCAGCACTAGCAGACTAATACATTCAGTGTACACCTAATGTTTAAAAAACCACCCAACTGTTTTCCAAAGTGATTATGCCGTTCTACATTCTCAGTGGCAGTCTGTAAGAGTTAATTTCCATTTCCCTAATACTAGTTATGTCAAACATCTTTTCATGTGCATATCTGCCATCCATATATTTTCTTTGATGAAGTAACTGTTCAAATCCTTTACTCTTCTTAATTGGGTTGTTTGCTTGCTTATTACTGCCTATGAAAGTTCTTTTAGTTTTCTACATGGAAGTCCTTTATCAGATACGTGATTTATAAATACTTTTCTCCAAGTCTGAGTCTTATCTTTTCATTTTCATAACAGTGTCTTTTGAGGAGCAGAGGTTGCAAATTTTGATTAAATTCAGTTTATCAATTTGTTCTTTTGTAGCTAATGTTTTTTAGTGCCATAACTTAAAAAATCTTTGCCTAACCTAAGGTCACAAATACTTTCACTCATACTTTATTTTAGAAGTTTTCTAGTGTCTAGAATTTTTATATTAAATTTGGTTATGAAATTCATTTTGAATTAATTTTTATGTGTGGTGTCAGGTATGAATTAGGGTTCTTTTCCTTTCCTTTTTAAATTTCCTATTGATACTCAATTGTTAAAGTGCTACTTTTTGAAAAGACTATCTTTTTTTCCATTGAATTGTTTTTGGACCATCATCAAAAATCAATTTATCATATATGTATGGGTCTATTTCTTGACTCACCATTTGTGTTCCATTGGTGTTTTTGTCTATCTTATGGCAGTACATCACTGTCTTGATTACTATAGCTCAGTGTCTCTGAACTTGGTGTGCTTTTGTTCCCCAGAGGGTGTTTGGCAATCACAATTGAGGCTGTCACAACTGGAGAAAGGGGTATTACTTGTATCTACTAAATAGAGGTCAGGAATGCTGCTAAATGAGCTACAATACGCAGAATGCCCCCCCCTCCCCACAACAAAGAATTTCAATAGTGCTGGGATCGAGAACCATCCACAGCTTTATAGTATGTCTTGAAATCAGGTAGTGTGAGTCTTCCAACCTTGTTCTTATTTTTCAAAGTTG